CCAAAATTCAAGAACGAATGTAGTTTTTCCCAAAAACACCTAGCAGTCAACTGACACAATGTCCTTCAGCGTAATTTGCATTCATCAGTTGGCTTGAATGCTTTGGCTCACGCGCCTTTTCTTTTACAATTTGCACAGATATAAAGCTTTAAAAAGTAATTTCTTTTCTATTGCCGGGTATGGAGATAATAATGTGTGTGCTCCACCTTGCCATGTTCCACAGGCAGCTGAGAAGATATGCTATACAAGCACAAATGTTCGCGTAATAAAAACTTCCAATTTAGTTAGCAGTTGATTAAAATATTTATTCTCGTGTAGGACTTCATTCCTAAAAGCTGCAAAATATGCAGATAATTAGCAGTTGGAAGGTAACGCCATACGCGAATATGTGATTATAAAAGAAGTAAATAGCTGTCAGCTAAGAAAATCATAATCCTAGTGAAAATCTGCTGTAATGCTACCCGCTGCAAGTCTCTTGCAGTGCAGGGTTTTGCCCTTACATCAATTGAAAAAAAAAGAAATTCTTCGAAGATTCATGAGTAACATGTGAGCTTTAAATGGAAACAAATAAATGCTTCATTAGAACATAGCGATAGCACCTGTATCACAAATGCTTTTTGGCAGATGGACTATAAAGTAGTTCAGCTAAACTCAATACTTTGAAAAGGCAATTCGGCAGAGGTCACGAACCGTTAAGTAAGCAAATCTGAGATTTTACATTAGCTATAATTCTCAAAAATAGGCGGTGTCATATCGTCTACTGTTTCTTTTTTGCAGCTTCCACGTATAGCACCTTTTTACGCTGAGCGAACATGTATAAGTAGAGTTGCGGAAAGCCTGAAAATTCAATTTGGATCAACGACAAATGAAATTGTTTTGAATATGAGAAGGGGAGTTCGAGAAATACCTTACCAGGAATATAGATGAGTGCCGAAATTATCAAAACTGCGTAGAATGAAAATCCCATGTTGGCTGGATTTGGCATCTCAATAGTATAGTGCTTCTTTGCGGCAACCTTGAGAAAAATACATGGAGGAAATTTATGATATAAAGATGACCAGTCAAAAGTATGACGCACCTCTGGAAGACTTCCAAAAAGGGTTAAGAGTTCACCAGTGACCCCAAGTGGGTACAACACGATGAAGAGGGTGTACCTCAAATGTAATTAATCTGATATAAGATTTGAAAGATGGTGTAAATAAAAAGACAGATAGCATATTACAATGATAATCCTACAAATAAATCGTTAAATAGAGAAATAACGACTCAGCGATTGTAAGGTAGGCTTGTGCTTTTATTGCAAAGAAAAACAATTATTCTTTTGAATTAAAAGATCGAGCGCTAATCAGAGTGCAACTTACCTCAACCAAGTTAGGAAAAAGGGTACAGAGTTAATTAGTCCGAGCGCGTAGAACGAGTACCTGATGACTTCGGTAACGGACCATGCAACAAGAAGCATGGGAACACCAACACTTTGGCGTGCCTGAAAATCTTCCATCGTTTTGGAGCCTTATCGAGAAGACCCTTGTGCAAGCATGAGCATAGTTTCCAAAATAAGTAACGTTGTGTAACAGCCGTGCAAAACGTACATAAATATATGAAAAGCCCTTTAAAATGGTAAGCAAAGACAACAAAACGTACTGTGGCACAAGTATGTAAGATAGGCCAGACCAGCAACAATCTGCTCCAGACTTGCATAGCAGTTGTCCCTACAGGAGATCGAACAAGACCAATGGCAGCATGAACTACCTAAATGTAAGTGATAACAGAAAAGTCAAAGGCGAAAGCTCGCCTCAAAATTTTAACATAAATAAGTGGACTCAATTGGATTCACCTTACCTCAAGGATAGCAAGTGTCTGGAAGATCTTAACCTCGGTTTCCACGGAGGTATATAACTCAGGCCAAGAAAGATGCTTGGAGAAACCATAGATTGTTTTGATCAGGATTAATCCCCAACTGAATGAAGAAGTACTTCTTTGGAATTTGTCAAAATCAAGATGCTGTCAATTTCTTTTATGGAGATGAAGCAAAGCTTCAGCTTTAGTTAGTTAAAAAGCACCACTATCCATTGAAAATGGACGCTAATTTGTGTTCCTTTCATCACTGGGGCAATGATGTTCACTGGCAGGGAGCCGAGTCACTGTAGTTTCTTTTGTAAAAGTTAACATAAGCAAACTGTTCAAAAATCGATAAGTATTGCTACAGTCTTTGATGGAAAAATTCTTCACAAAAGCGGTGTCTTCAAAACTGCCATATGGAACGATGACTGTGGATTAATCAAGAATTAAGATACATTATTATGAAACTGGCAAAGCTAGAAAATTGCACTTACCCAAGAAACTGTACAGCATTATAAGCAAAAAGATAAAGTTGAGCTGGTTTCATTATCGAATCGTCCACGAACTGCAAAGAAGATTTGCCGCGTTCAGCCAACAAAAGTCTTGTTCGGTGCACAAATTCTGCACCTCCTGTACCCAGTTTTCTAAAGAAGAGAAAATTACGAAAAAAGGGAGACTGTTAGCGCACTTGGCGAATACAACAGTTTATGATAAGGTCTTCATCGATCCAAGGGTGATAAAGTGACAAAAACGGACGACGTGAGCATGGCACGATATGCCCACTTCCTCAAACTCTGATAAGAAGCGAACGCTAAAGCTTAATGGCCAATCTAAGAATAAAGATCACAAAGAATGGGACATCGCAGAACTACAGAGCATAAGAACTGCACTCCCGATATACAGTAAGAAACACTTACAGATGTTAACTACATGCACTTTAATCAAAAATAATACACTTCCTACTTTTCAAAAACCGATGAATCTCGGGGAATTGAAATGCTCAACCAAGACGGTGACGTAGATAAGTCCTTTTTTCCTTCCTCCTCTGTCAGAAACACCGAAGATGGAGAGACTGCTTATAAGACCCTATTATGCTGACACATACAAGATCGAAAAAATAAAAGTTCAGGCCTTGATTTTAACAGAAAGACAATTAATTTTGCAATGAATTGTTACAAATACGGAAGATACCAACCAAAAACTAAATTCAGACGAAAATTGGGCAAGATCTAGCAATCACTTCATCGAAATCTCATTTTCTTGAGAATAAAGAGTTTCGTAGGAATGAATTTTGAAAGTATATTACATGACAGTTAAGGCGATGTCCACAACATCAAAGAATTTGAATTCCTCGTTTGGAACTTTGTCCGTCAGATTGTATGTTTGCCTTGTATTGCACACAATATGAGCATTTCGACGCCGAGAGCACTTTGTAGCTGTCACTGCGCATAGTAGGTGCTGTAGGTGCTGCAACTGAACCAAGTATTTTTTCCCTATGAGTTCATTTCAAAGAAAGTAGATGGAGAGTTCTGAATGTTAACTTTTGGAAAAGCTGAAAATCCCACCATATGTAATGTAATCTATTCAGGATTACTATTCTTATAGCCTTTTTCTAGAACCAGTTTCGTTTGCGGCTAAAGTGATGAAAAGCGGAGTTGTCCAATTTCTCTAAAGTTTATTTCGTAGAGAGGAAGTGTTCACTGGTGTCTAGGCAATTTTTTATGGTGATTAACAACCAACGGATTTGCATTTTCCAATAATTACTCGAAGTCAAAGTTTAACATATTCATTTTAGTTCCCATTCTTGAATAGCAATGGTTGATCCTATTCTTGAATAGTAATGGTTGAATAGGTTATAAGGTTAACCTAACACATGAGGGAAGGATCTTAGATTGTTCGTACTTCAGAGATCGCCGTGAGGGCTGAACGAGCCAAAGATTTCTTTGGATGAATACACCCTAAATTCTCAGACAGCAAAATGATCTTCTTTATATACCTAAATATCTAGATGTTAAATTTTCTGTGATTATCAGCACCTGTTTCTTCAAAAGACGTAGAAATTATTAGGCATCGGTTGAAGATGTTGGCTTGATTAACAATCAAATCTAATCGAACAGAGGATATTCTAAAAAGGTATCATCGTAGAACCGATGATTCCTTGCATTACCGTATCTGACCTCTTATGAGGGGCGGGCTTCGCCTA